TCTAGTATCTATCTTTTCTCCACACTAGCTCCAACACAAATCCAAATTTTGAGCATTAGATTATGTGATTCAACCGTCAAAAGGGGAAATATGCCTTTTAACTAAATGTGGGTCCTCCAATTACTCATAAAGAGCATTTGATTGGTAGGTGAAATTGAAAAAAAAAAGTTGTAAAGATAGGTAAAAAGAAAAAAAAAAGAAAGCAATAAAAAAGTTAAAGAAAAGTAGTAAATTTGGAAGAAAAATGAATGATGGTTTAGACTTCCTTTTTTTGAAAATCTCATCAATTAAGGAATATCCGGACACCAGACTAATCCCTAACTAATGGTTTTAAAATGAGTTCGAAGGAGTCGCCACCGATGTTTTACTCAAAAAGTGGCTGCTCGCGACCGGGTGAAAGGTCTATGTTCCTAGACCTCAAGTCCAAGAAAGAAGGCCTAGTCACATTCGTAGGAGGACAGAAAAGACAAATCATGGGGATGGGTAAAATAGGTATAAATTCCTCCATCACCATTGATAACGTCTTGTATGTTAAAGGATTAACACATAACCTGTTAAGCATAAGCCAATTATGTGACAGTGGTTACGAAGTTTTCTTCAACAGAAATAAATGTACTGTTAGTCAAACTGATTCATGCATATTATTTACAGCTAACAGATGCAATAACTTGTACAAGATAATGCCTAATGAACTAGAAAATCAAAATGTTGATTGTCTAGTATCCTATGAAAATTAGTGGTTGTGGCACAAAAAACTTGCTCATGCAAGCCTGAGATTAATCTCAAAGATGAAAAAGCATAACCTCGTAAGAGGTTTACCAAGTCTTGTGTACCAGTCGAATAGCCTATGTGAAGCATGTCAAAAGGGGAAATAAGTTAAAAGTCCTTTCAATAGTAAAAATCATGTTTCCACCTCAAGACCTCTTGAACTACTCTACATGGATCTATTCGATCCCACTAGGACTGCATCTATCAATGGTAAAAGATATGGACTAGTCATTGTTGATGACTATACTAGATGGACATGGGTTTTGTTTATAACCCACAAGGACGAGTCCTTCAAGGTATTCCATATATTCTGTAAAAGAATTCAAAACAAAAAAGGAATATCAATTACGTCTATAAGAAGTGATCATGGAAGAGAATTTGAAAACGAACAGTTTCAAGATTTTTGTGAAGAAAATGGAATCAAACACAATTTTTCAACCCCTAGATCTTCACAAAAAAAATGAGTTGTAGAAAGAAAGAATCGTTCTTTACAAGAAATGGCAAGAGCTTTATTAAACGATTTTTCAACTCCCAAACACTTCTAGGTAGAAGCAGTTAATACTTCCTGCTATATACATAATAGAATATCTTAGACCTATCTTGAAGAAAACTCCCTATGAATTATGGAAGGGACGAGCACCCAACATATCATACTTTCATCCATTCGGATGCAAATGCTTCATTTTATATACTAAGGGTAACTTAGGCAAATTTGACTTAAAAACCAATGAGGGTATCCTACTTGGATACTTTGAAAGGTCAAGAGCCTATAGAGTCTTCAACAACAGAACAAGAACTGTTGAAGAAGCCATTCACATTAAGTTTGACAAAAATAAGCCTGATAAAAAAATATCAGAGCTAGGAACCTTCTTTGAGAATATGTAGGTAAATAATAATTAGTCAAAAGAAGATGAGTTTGAAAGAACTGAAGGTCAAAAGGATGATAAAGAGGAAAGAGAGCCTGTCAATCAAAATGGGCAGATGAAGGCTCATTATCCTCAAGAGTAGATCATTGGCGAGGCAAAAGATGCAGTAAGGAAAAGAAGCTCATTCAAAACCCAAACACAAATTGAGTTGTTATCTCAAATAGAACCAAAAACCACGGAAAAAGCCCTATTAGACGATAGCTAGGTCCAAGTCATGCAAGAAGAACTCACCCAATTACAAAAGAATGATGTCTGGAAACTGTACAAGATCCGGAAGGAAGAACAATAATTGACACAAAATGGGTATACAAAAACAAGCTAGACGAATCAGGAAATGTGGTAAGAAACAAAGCAAGGTTAGTCGCAAAAGGATACTCACAATAGGAAGGTATAGACTTTACAAAAACCTTTGTACTTGTTGCCAGAATAGAAGTTATTAGAATATTACTTGCTTTTGCTGCATACAGTGGTATGAAATTGTATCAAATAGATGTTAAAAGCGCATTTTTAAATGGAATAATTTCAGAAGAAGTTTACGTAAACCAACCCCTAGTTTTGAAAGCAAATTGCCTCCATCTCATGTTTTTAAATTAAACAAAGCTTTGTACGGACTGAAACAAGCACCACGAGCGTGGTACGACAAATTAAGCTCTTTTCTAACAAGCAAGAATTTCCTAAGAGGAAAAATTGACAGCACACTATTTAGAAAAGAACTAAAAGATGATTTCATAATAGTTCAAATTTATGTAGATGATATAATATTTGGAGCTACTAATGACAATCTCTGTCAAGAGTTTTCCAAGCTTATGTAGGAGTTAAAAGCATTTTGAGATATCTTAAAGGAACAACTAACCTAGGAATCAGCTTCTATAAAAGCCAGAAATTTTCCCTATTAAGATATTGTGATGCAGATTACGCAGGGGACAAATGGGAGAGAAAAAGCACTAGTGGAGGATGTCACTTTCTTGGTCGCTGCTTAGTTTCATGGACTGTAGACACCCAATTTCATCCGGGGGCACACAAACAAGGAAAATGACCTCCGTTATGAAGGGAAGGAGCTTCCGAAGCAAGCAAACAACAAGACAGGACATCAGAAGGCCTAAAGGCCAAATAAGGTGGTTTTAGTAGCCCAGAACGGGCTGTTCCAAAATCGGAACGGGCCGTTCTGAACCCCGGAAAGGGCCGTTCCAATATCAGAACGGGCCGTTCCAATGTAACTAAAAACACCTAAAGAGTCTTGGGTGGAACGGGCCATTCTAATAGCAGAACGGGCCGTTTCAAACAAGGCAATTTTTGGAACGGACCGTTCTGGAAAGGGAAAATTTGTGTTAATTTCTACTCTGGAATGGGCCGTTCCATTTTCAGAACGGGCCATTCCAGGGTACGAAATTTGCACATAACGATTGGGCCAGAACGGGCCGTTCCGAATCCAGAACAGGCCATTCTGGCCCCTTCTGATTCCTATAAATAGAAGCTTCGAGCATAGTTCTCAGGGCGGCCAGAGAAATTTCGAATAAGACTCCTTTGAGCATGAAAATTCTCTATCTCTCTCCTTTCTATTGTATTTCTTGAGATTTGTGTCGCATCTTTTTTTTCTCTCTCCTTCCTATTGTATTTCTTGAGATCTGTGAGGCATATTGTAGTGCGAAAGGTCGCCACGAAGCACCTTCTTCATATTTGAAGATTCAATAGAGCTCGTTCAAGAGGTATTTCAATCAATCTTCTTCTCTCTATTTTATTTTGTTATCTTTGATAAATATTGTTATATTAAAAGCAATCATGTAGATATTTTTGAGTTAATTGTATAATTTAAATTTCAAGCATGTAAATAAATTAATAAAGGGGATTAAATATTTAAATTATTAATTCTCATCACGTTAACTTCATCATAGGGTACCGATTGAAGACGCTGTAGGGGTGCTTAATACCTTCCCTACACGTAACCGACCCCGAACCCAATTCTGGTTATCAAGGCCATTATTGGATTTTTTAAAAAAAACCTTTTCTTTTTCCAATGTTTTGAGTAAAACATTGGTAGCGACTCCATGAACTCATTTTTTTAAAACCATTAATTAAGGATTAGTCTGGTGTCCGGGCATTCCTTAATTAATGAGATTTTCAAAAGGATGTCTAAACCAGTAGTCGCGAGATCGGAAATTTTCGGGTTGCGACAGATGGCGAATCCGCTGGGGACGTTTTAAGAGGGTCAGGCCCAAATAAATGATGAAGTTAACAAAATAAGAATAAATAATTTAAATATTTTCCCCTTTACCTTGTTTGTTTTCTTTATTTAGCTTTGGTATCTGTTTGTTTATTTAAATTCCGCACATGTTTGGAATAAAAATTGTACATAAACCTTTGCACACAACAGTTCTCCCTACACTTGGGGGCGTGAGGGTATTAAACATAAGGAGTGGTTGACGTACGACCGGCCCAAGTTTGGCCTTGGAGCCTGCGAGCCTTGTCGGAAATCACACTCAAGGTGATAACCGGTTACTCTAGCCTGAAATACTGCGACAAACCTTAGAGTTTGCCAGGTGAGGGCAACAGAGATACTGGGTCCCTATAATGGGGGAACCTTGGGGACCTCTCGCACATTAGACTCAACTCAAGTTAATTATACCACCACATAAAAAGATCTTTTAGCAATTGTATTTGCATTAGATAAATTTCATTTTTATTTTCTTGGCTCTAGTATTATTGTATTGACCATACAACTTTGAAATTACTATTGAAGAAGCTAGATGCTAAACCTAGATTGATCAAGTGGATGCTACTTCAGCAAGAGTTTGATGTTCAAATTAGAGACAGGAGTGGTGTGTTGAGATGATGGAGATCATTGAGATGAATTGAAGACTCCTCAAGAAGTTTTAGTTTTGATGATGTTAATGTATATATAGTGTTTGAGCCTATGGAAAAAGATATTGTATTGATTGTAATAGATATAGGCTTGTGTGTGTTTGTTTATGATTGATGATGATGAATGCTTAATTCAAGAACTAATCAAGTTTTTTAAGAAACCAAGAATTTGATTTTTTTAGTATTTCCATGAGTAAACATAAAGTAATATATTATCTTGAAAAGGGTAATTTACTACCAAGTATTTAAACATAGAAATATGACTTGATTCAAACAAGAGTTTTCAAGGTAACTTTGTTAATCAATTACCATTCAGGGTAATAGATTACCAAATATGTTATTGGAAAAGGATATTCAAATGTCCTCTGTATTAATAGATTACCACGTCTGTTACTGGAAAATAATTTTCAAGTACTCTCTGAGGTAACAGATTATCAAAGTTGGTAAGAGGCAAGCTCATACCTTCAAAATATAGATGTTACAATGAGTTACAAAATGAAACCATATTGCTAGCTAGTACAGAATACTAGACATCATTAGATACAAACCACACGCACTGCATGTCATGAAGGTTGTTGTGTTGATCACCATCTTTTGTGAACAACACTGCAGTTTTTTCTGCCAAAGACACCTGGATATCAAGGGAATGGACCAAAAGAAAGTCAGAGCAGGCAAAAGAGAAAGCTACAAATTACAATACTCAAGTGTGAATGAAATTCAAATACATAGATAGACAATACCTGATCAGCCTTCAGCATGCGCTTAATGCATTCACTATTAACATGACGATCAGCAAGATCCATACACCTAGCTTCATCTGCAAATGCAGCAGCAGCAGCCAAATCACCAGCATGCTTCAGTATCCGACTCTGATATTCGAAAACATACAACAATCAATAAGTTTCTCCACATACTATCGACTGTTAATGAAAGTTACCAATCACCACTAATCCCTACTAAATTAACTCATTTTCACCAATATTTGATCTTAGAAAGTACATGTTACTTGAATATCTAGAGTATATTATACTATTATTGGCTTTATTGGATACTATCATTTTTTTATAGAAAAAATAAATAAATGTATGAGTGGGGCAAATTAATTTGTTAAGTGGTAAAAAACTAATTTTCAGTGATTAAAAATTATTTTTTATCATTTACATCTTTACTTTATTTACTCCATGGTTTAATACTTATCATGACTAATACTTGGCCATATTTTAATATCTTTTTAATTCTAAAAGTATTAATTATAAGTTACTATAAAGTATTTTTTTACTAGTTATTGTCCCCCACTTATAAACTTTTTGTTTGCCTTATTATCTCTAATCGATGTGGGACTTGGATTTTTTCTCAATACACCCCCCTCAAGTCTCGCACTATTGAACTTGATATGTGAATGATTAGTGGTCAGCCCTTTTTTAATGATCTAGAATATAGGTGGGGCTTGGGTTTTTTTTCCCAACACAACCCCTCATGCCCAACATGATTGGATTTGAGACATGTATAAATGGTGGGTGACTCTTTTTAGCGGATCTAAGATAACTCTAATACCATTTTAGAAAATGGATTAGAGTCTAGCTTAACCTTTCACGACAAAAGAAGCACAAATCTCGGTCTATGAAAGAACTCTCAACACCCGTAGGCCGGGGCAACATCTTTGTCCTCGGTGTATGGGACGGGGGCAGCGTTAACGCTGATAGTAGGAGGTTTCGTTAAAGCAAAGAAGTGTTATGCCCCAAAGACATCACTTGCAAAATACTGCTAGGATAAAAAACCAAAAAGGGCGACCTAGGCAAAAAAAAAAAAAAAAAAAAAAAGAGTTCCCGCTAGGATATGTCCTAGGAAAAAATTAGGGATATAAAAAAATTAAAAAATAGCAAGTGACGACTTTTCAAGTTGAAAACCAAAAGGCGGTTTGAATACTCCTGCAAAAGGCCAAAACTTTTGGAAGACTCTGCCCGAGACTCAGACATGTAGTCCAAGATAATTAGAAGAGTGATTATAATAATTATCCAAGGAAATGTTTGTTTAAAAACTTAAACACTGACCTACCTCAACCACTCATTCATTATAAATCATCCTTTCTTTCTTTTCTGTGTTGTCCTATCCTAATGACATATTTTTTTTATGGTTGTCAAAATTTAAACATGTCCAAAAAAAAAAGAAGGAAATAAAAAAATGAAAATAACCTGCTGGGATAAAAACCCGTAAAGGGCATCCTAGGCAAAAATTAGGGCAAAAGAAAAGAGCAAAAATACTCGTTAGGATACATCCTAGGCAAAAGTTAGGGTTTCTAAACAAAAAAAAAAAAAAGAGCCCTAGGACGGTTCAATACATCAACCAGCCAATACAACTAAGTGTCATGCATCAAGTAGAGTAGTTTATTTGTGAGAAGTAGAAAAGGGAAGCCACCTTCTAAAAAAATAAATAAATAAATAAATAAAAATAAAATCAACATACATTGCATGCATCCAAAAACATTTCACACACTTAGAAAACTTTATTTATCCAAAGGGGATTATTCAAAAATAAATAAATAAATCTTGCATAAATTAAGCATTCAACATTTCTGCATCTTGACAAGAAAAGCCCAAAAAGGGAAACACAAATTCCAATTGACAGCATCTGAACAAAAGACAAAAGCAGCCCAAATTAGAGGCATCACAACACACCTCCTGCCCAACATCCTTGGGGCAATATCTACCACAAGTCAAGCAAACCAATGAGGGCATCGACAGTTTCCTCAAAATACAATAAAGGTCTGGAGAGACTGTACTCACATCCCAATCCGGTATACGACAAAGCTGTGAGGGAAAGGTCTGGAGAGGTTGTACTCACATCCCAATCCAGTATACGACAAAGCCGTGAGGGAAAGGTCTGGAGAGACTGTACTCACCTCCTAATTCGGTATACGACAAAGCCGTGAAGGAAAGGTCTGGAGAGACTGTACTCGCATCCCAATCCAGTATACCACAAATCCGTAAGGGAAAGGTCTGGAGAGACTGTACTCGCATCCCAATCCGGTATACGACAAAGCCATGAGGGTAGCTGAGCTATGAAAATACTCCCTCTTCAACAAGCTACAAATAAAAGAACGCACTATCACAAGATAAACAATGGCGCATCTACTTGAAGACCGAAGATCAGGTGTATAGTTCGTCAACCTTGTTACCCAATAGAGTATGCAACCAACACTCAACTGCTCTAAAGGGCGAGGACACAAGCAAATACACCTATCCAAGAGAAGGAACGTAGAAGCGCCAACACCAAGGAGAAGAGGAGGAGACCCAGACGAAATGTCTACGTCTTTACTTGCCTTTGGAAAAGCAACACATAGCTACTCCAAAGGACAAGTAAAGAGAGGCAGCTGTAGACACCAAATTTCGTTCGGGGGCATACAAACAAGGAAAATGACCTCCGTTATGAAGGGAAGGAGCTTCCGAAGCAGGCAAACAACAAGACAGGACATTAGAAGGCCTAAAGGCCAAATAAGGTGGTTTTCGTAGCCCAGAACGGGCTGTTCCAAAATCAGAAAGGGCCGTTCTGAACCCCAGAACGGGCCATTCCAATACCAGAACGGGCCGTTCCAATGTAACTAAAAACACCTAAAGAGTCTTGGGTGGAACGGGTCGTTCCAATAGTAGAACGGGCTGTTCCAAACAAGGCAATTTTGGAAAGGGCCATTCTAGAAAGGGAAAATTTGTGTTAATTTCTACTCTAGAATGGGTCGTTCTATTTTCAGAACAGGCTGTTCCAGGGTACAAAATTTGCACATAACGATTGGGCCAGAATGGGTCATTCCGTATCCGAAACAGGTCGTTCTGGCCCCTTCTGATTCCTATAAATAGAAGCTTCGGGCACAGTTCTCAGGGCGGCCAGAGAAATTTCGAATAAGACTCCTTTGAGCACGAAAATTCTCTATCTCTCTCCTCTCTATTGTGTTTCTTGAGATTTGAGTCGCATCTCTTTTTTCTCCCTCCTTCCTATTGTATTTCTTGAGATTTGAGTCGCATCTCTTTTTTCTCCCTCCTTCCTATTGTATTTCTTGAGATCTGTGAGGCATATTGTAGTGCGAAAGGTCGCCACGAAGCACCTTCTTCATATTTGAAGATTCAATAGAGCTCGTTCAAGAGGTATTTCAATCAATCTTCTTCTCTCTATTTTATTTTGTTATCTTTGATAAATATTGTTATATTAAAAGCAATCATGTAGATATTTTTGAGTTAATTGTATAATTTAAATTTCAAGCATGTAAATAAATTAATAAAGGGGATTAAATATTTAAATTATTAATTCTCATCACGTTAACTTCATCATAGGGTACCGATTGAAGACGCTGTAGGGGTGTTTAATACCTTCCATACACGTAACCGACCCCGAACCCAATTCTGGTTATCAAGGCCATTATTGGATTTTTTAAAAAAAACCTTTTCTTTTTCCAATGTTTTGAGTAAAACATTGGTGGCAACTCCATGAACTCATTTTTTTAAAACCATTAATTAAGGATTAGTCTGGTGTCCGGGCATTCCTTAATTAATGAGATTTTCAAAAGGATGTCTAAACCATTAGTCGCGAGATCGGAAATTTTCGGGTTGCGACATGGACTAGCAAAAGGCAAAGAACGATTGCCTTATCAACTTGCGAAGCTGAGTATGTCACCGTAGGACAGTGTCTTACACAGCTGCTTTGGGTCAAACATCCGCTAGAAGACTACGACATTTATGAAAGTAGTATTCCTGTACTCTATGATAACACTACCGTAATTAGTATTTCTAAAATCCCTGTTTTGCATTCTAGAACTAAACATATTGAGATTAAACATCATTTCACTAGAGATCATGAGCAAAAAGGAACCTTCGATTTAGTATAGTGAAGACAGAGGAACAATTAGCTGATATCTTTACCAAGCCTATTCAAGAAGATAGATATATATGTCTGAGAGATAGGCTAGGAATGGAACTAATAGGTGAATAACAAACCTCTATTACTTTTTGAATGATTACAAAGGGGGAGAAATCGAAAAGAATCTATCAATTTTAAATCTACCTCAGGGTGAAGTAGGAATAATCAAGTGAGGGGGAGAGCCTTAGTACCCACATACTAAGGGGGAGAACCTTAATACCCTAAAATACCTAGTAAATTATATGATGAATGAAATATATTGGCATAAATTTGTATATCTGCTATATATCTAAAACGAACGAATTGATAGATTATATTTGTCATCATCAAAAAGGGGGAGATTGTTAAGTCGGACAAAGCAATTCCCAGTAAGGTTTTTGAAAATGACAAATATAACACATATTGTTATTACTAACCTGTGTAGTAATGTTTCATATATGTATAATAACAAGCAAAACTAAAGCATGAAGCAGGGTCAAGCAAAATAAAGATCGGACAAATCAAGCCAAATAATATAAGGGTCATGACTTGCGCACCAGACGACAATAAATACAAAACAAAGATATGCCAAGAGCAATCCAAAGCGCAATATAAGAAATTGTTGAGCTTAGGGGAGCCTGAACTTGATGCGATCAAGATTATCTCTGAAGCTTAAAAGAGTTTTGATGATCACAAAATGTGTGTCAAGGACAACAACAAACAACCACAACTTAGAAGACAAAAACAAAGTCAAAGAAAGTGTTATGTAATAGGGATTAGTACATCAATTGTTTTGAATGAGTTTATTTGTTGTGTGTGCTTTGTGTATAAGCTAAATCTATATCTAAACTGATTACAAAGTGTATGATGATGAGTTAAAGGGACCAAAAAGTTATTTTGATCAAGTAATAGATTACCTTTGTTATTACTCTTTATAACTGAATCACATCTTGCACTTTATAAAATCTATCTTTTTGAAATTAAAAAGAGAACTTTTAAGACTTTTGAAAAATCTTTTTAAAGAGGAACATTTT